TGATCATATTCAAGCATTTGCATTTTATTTTATTGTTACATGCATTTTTAAATTGTAATGCATTTGTATTTTGTCATTCATATTTAATTATCATGCTTACGTCATATGTTATTATTGTGTTCATGCATAATGTATAGGTTTTATAAATAATGTTTCTTTTTCATAAAAAAATATTTTAAAATAAGATGATATCTCAAGTAAGAACGACCTTTGAGAATCTGGCCTAAAAATAGAAAGACTTTTAATGATTATTATTTACGTGAGGTATTATCTCAGTTTTGTAGGATAATTTGAAAATTCATAAGTTAAAGATTTTTTAAAATTCTACCTAAATATAAGAGAGTGAAAAAAGTGTGTTGATGCTTACGATATTTTTATCTTGATAAAAAATAAATTATTTTGCTTTTAAAAAAATAAAAATGATTTGCTTTTAAAAAAAAAAAAGAGATTTGATTTTTGGAATAAACAAAGGAATTAATTTCTAAACATTAAAAATAGGATTATTTTCACCAAAGTCTAAGGATAACATTCATTCAATTGTTACCATCTTTGATGGATGTTATGGAAGGTGCTAATCCTTCCTCACATGTGACTGATTCTTAAACTTAACTCTACTTTTCGCAAACCATATAATGTTCTTTTAATAAACTTTAAACTCTTTAAAATGTTTTATTAAAAGGACAAAATTTTTAAGTAGTCAATCATAACCTAAAAAAAAATCATTAATAATTTTGTAGTAAATCATCGATAAATTAATAATAAATCAATTATAACTTTATAACAAATAATCAATAACTTAGTAGTAGATCATTAACAATTTAGTGGTAAATCAGTTATAACTTAATAGTAAATAATTCATAAATTAGTAATAAATCAATGTTAATTTAGTAGTAAATCATTAGTAATTTTGTAATATATCATTAATAACTTAGTAGTAAATCATTGATAACATAATAGTAAATCAATGATAACTTAATTGTCAATCATTAATAATTTTTTTTATACTTGAAGTTGTCAAGAATTAAATCTTGGTTATTAACAAAAACAAAGTTGGAAATTTTATCTTAAGAGATTAGGATAAACCTACTATAAACCTATTTAATAAAAAAATTTATGAAAAAAAATTCTAAAATCGAATGAAACAATAATGTTATTATATTAAAAAATAATCTCTTATATTAGAATTGAACTTGCACTTTCTTACAAGAATTCATTGTTAAATATATGATGACATAAATTTTATTAATAATTAATAAAAGTATAACATAAGTTACCAAAAGATTACTAAAATTACATCAAGAGTTTACTAAAATTTTATTAAAGATTCCCAAAATTGTATTAATGGTTATCAAAATTATATCATAAATTAACAAAATTGTATTGAAAGTTATCAAAATTTTACAAAAAATTATCAAAATCAAAATTATATAAAAAATTATCAAAATTTACTTATATTATATCAAAATTAAAATTAAATTATTAATATTTAATATTATAATATTATAAAAAATTATTTATTGAAATAAATTTTTAGAGATAAAAATTACATCTGCAACATGCATATGTCAAAAACTAATATATATATCTACATTAATGAATTGCATTATAGTTTTCTTATTCTTTCACTTTAATTTCTTATCATACAATTATTTCTTCTAGCCCTAGATTAATTAGTGGCAAAATTAGTAAAAAATTCTAATGATCGGTTGTTATGTTTTTTTATTTGATTGAGGCCTAAGATTCAAATCTCGACTCCTTTATACCTCCCTTTATGTACCTGAAAAAATATGCACAAAAAGTCTTCATATTTCTTATTCATTATTATGTGAGATCAATAAAAGACTTGAGTGATTAAATGATTGAAGCAACCATCAAATCTTGCTTTATGGAATCTTATACTTAAATTTTGATCATGTACGAGCAAACAGTACAAGACCAAAATCCAAGCTACCTATCACTTTTTTTTAAAATTTTTTCCTATTTTTGTTAAATTTTTAAAAATTTTAATAAATATTTTTTAAAATGGTACCCATTTATGTCAAATTTTTTATTATTTTTTCAAGATTTTAATTTTATTTTTTATGTGATCCATTTAATTTTCAGGGCATGTTGCGTATTTACTTTTTTTCTATTATTTTCTATTATTTATATTTAATAAATTTTTTTTAGATTTAAAATTTTTTTTGTCTCATCGATCTAATGGTATGTCATGTGTTAAGTTATTTTTTCTTTTTAATCTCTTTTTTCTTTTTTTTATCATTTTTTTCTATTTACTTATTTTTCTTTTTAAATATTTCTACATTTTCACAATATTTTACCTTGAAACAGGTTGAGTATGTATTTTGTCATTTTATTTTCAAATAATATGCCTTAAGATGGGTTTAAATTTTTTTAAAGAAACGAATTCAAATCGGAAGTATATTTAGGATGTTTTATCTTAAGGTATTTTGATGTATTTATAAAAATTTATATTTTATTATTTATTTAATTTTATACATATATGGTCATATTTAGTGCATATAATGATAAATAAAATAGTATGATAATTATTTTATATTATGTTTGGTTTATATATAATTGAAAAGAATAGGATTATGAGAAGAATTATCATCATCTTGGTATAAGATGATTCAATCATCTCAAAATGAATATGATTATTTTTAATTCATAGGATTAAATTTATATATTCTATTATACCCTTAAAAATTACATTAATAATTTGAATTGTATAAACTTTGAGAAATGATAATTTTGACCTATATATAAATTATTCTATTTTAATTCTTGCACATATTAAATATAAAATATGATAACATTATTTAATCTAATCTTATTCATAATATCATCTTTTTTTATTTTATCATAATCATGTCTACTAAATAGGAGCTATATGTATTATATTAATAAAGTTATTTTTATCTTAATTTAATAAATTAATATTTTAAGCTCAATATTGGGGTATCAATGTGACACCTTCCGTGAGCTTTTTTCTATTATTTTTAACTTTTTTTTATATTTTTATTGAATAAATTTATAAAAAATAAGATCAATTAAGGTATCCACGTGTCATTCTCATTTATTTTTTTATCTTTCATATTTTTTTTGTTTTTTTAATTAGATTAATTTTGTAAGAAATATCCGATAAACAAATATGACAAAATAAAAAATTGTACCCATGACAACGCGCATGTATTTTTTTTAATATCTATAACTATAATTAAAAGTAAATCTCACCAAAATTACATTAATACCCTTTGGATTGTTTCATGATTTGTTTACTGTAGCATTTTATGTCATCATTAAAAAAATACCATTTTATATCTATTTAATTACATCATGTAAATTACTATTATACCCTGTTTATCATAAATAACCAAAATTATTATTCTGTTACTCTGGTCATAATTATGAAATTACCATTTCTACTAATACCATAATAGGCCAAAATTACTATAATAGCCTTTTTGCCTTAATTATGAAAGTACCTTTAATGTTATAATTAAGTATAATTACTATGATCTTCTTGCCATAATTATAAAAATACCATTTTAATTGCTTCATAATTATATATTAAAATTTAACATTTTATTCAATAATATGAAAATAATTTCTTTAAAAATGACCAAATGCCTTTCTAATTACATAACAATTGAATAACACGTGTTTAAATTGATTGTAATGGCCCTTCTGTAATCTAAAATTACTATAATGTCTTTTTTATCATAATTAATGAAGTATCTCTCATATCGTAATTAACTAAAATTACTATAATGCCCTTTCAATCATAATTACAAAAATCTCATACTACTGACGACCAAATTTACTATAATGTTGCTCATACTATATTAAAATTATTTCTTTTCCTTAAAATAATTTAAGTTGTATGGGTGATAATATTAGTGGGCTTTAATTTCATGGGTAAATGGGTTTGAATTTGATAATTGATCAATATTAGTAATAAGTAAATATTGTATTAATAAACTGGATTGTCATTAATAAGTGTTGTTGGGTTTGGATTTAATCTATACAATTATTTTAAAGCAATCCCTTTATTTATAATAGAATCCAACACCTCTAATTGTAATTGACTAAGACAATTATAGTATGAGTTTTTTATTTTTTTTAAAAAAAATTATATTTTCCAAAAATTAAAATTAAAAAACCAACAAAATACTAAAAAAATTTTAATTTTTTGTTTATTGTTAAATTAAAAAATTAAAAGAATTATATTTTATCAAAATAAAAAAAAAAATTGCTAAGCCAGGCATAGCAGGGTAGATTTTCTAGTATAGATTACTAGTACATTTGTAAACAAGGGCAATTGTGATTCAAAAGCTAAGACTGTTCTTCATTAATACGATGCTTTTGACCATTAATTTTCATTCCTATGAATTTTGGACTAAACCGCAACAAGGCAGAGCTTAATCACGAGTTCTTACCAGGGCATGCAGTCCAAACTTAAGTGCCCTACAGGCCTATGCTAGTGATTTTTTTTTATTTAGCAGTAAGGGATTTTGGGCTCCTTTCCTTTATTAGGCTGATTCAAACGGATTTATTTGCATTGGTCTAATATATTCATGAAAAATTATTTTTTTAGTTGCCATAATTTTTTAGTAAATTCGAACTCAGACAATAAAAAAATAAACACATTTTCTTTGTCATTAAGCCAACCATCCTTTGACCTGTACCAGAGATTTACATGTAATAGATTGGAAAAAAAAAAAAAAGATTTGATCAGTTTCTTAGAAAACAGTACCAGGCTTCTGGAAGTAACTTGTTTTGTTAAAAACTTGTCAAAGTCACCATCAAGGCTCAATGGGGCCGTTGAGATGTTGTGCTCAGACAACTCTTTAAGTCTCCCGCTTAGTCACAACCTAGCAGTTGCTTCAAGTTATGGAAAGCAAAAAAACCAGAAACCTTAGAGGGATATATATATATATATATATATATATATATAACTATAACACACAATACAAGTACTTAACAACCAGTTGGTAAGACATCCTCCAAACTCTAGATAATTCCAATATTGGAAATGTGGAAATTTATTATTTATCTTTCTTAACACTCGTACTGTCATACAACACAACCGACATTGCCTCGTACTTATGATAGCCATTGCAGTTCCATTTCATTGTTGAAGCAAACTCATAAGAGTAGTTTGCATTCAGCAATCTCCGTAACCCAAATTTCGGAATATTGATTAAAATCAGAAGCTAACTCCTGCCATTGCTACAAGTCAGTGGAGATGAGATTTATCGTCTCGGGTTTGTTTCTTTTTGTGCTCTTTTGTCATGCAGGTGAACATTTATACGCAGTTCCTCGAGCTTTTTCTTGGTAATTGGTTCATTTCTGTTTATTCAATCGCCTTGCATTTAATTTCTTTGTTTTATGGTTGCAGCTGCATATGATCCATTGGATCCGAACGGAAATGTAACAATCAAATGGGATATTGTCTCTTGGACGCCAGATGGATACGTGGTAAGTGCTGAATATTGATCAAACAAAAGTAAGTTGAATCATCAATGATCCATTCTCATCAAGATATTAAAAGAAAAATCTTCATTTTATCTGTTAGAATTCATTTACAAAGAGACTAAACTGATAAATTATTTCATTATCCAAGGTTCTGATCTTATTCGGAATCATGTAAGTTTTACCGATAATCTGGTGCCAACGACACTTTTCCAGGCTGTTGTAACAATTAACAATTTTCAAATGCATCGGCACATCATTAGTCCTGGTTGGACTTTGGGGTGGACATGGGCTAAGAAAGAAGTGATATGGTCCATGGTAGGGGCTCAAACAACTGAGCAAGGTGACTGCTCCAAGTTCAAAGGAAACATACCTCACTGCTGCAAGAAAACCCCCACAGTTGTAGACCTCCTCCCAGGTGTTCCCTACAACCAACAATTCACCAATTGCTGCAAAGGTGGAGTGCTTCCAGCATGGGGTCAAGATCCTCAAGCTGCTATCTCTGCTTTCCAAGTGAGTGTTGGATTAGCCGGTACTTCAAACAAGACGGTGAAACTTCCCAAGAACTTCACTTTGCTCGGTCCGGGACCAGGATACACTTGTGGTCCTGCAAAGGTTGTGCCTTCCACCACTTTTCTCACCCCTGATCGTCGCAGAAAAACTCAGGCCCTCAGTAAGTTCTTTTAGCTGATCACATGATCTAGACTTATCTTAATTTATGGAGGATTGTTTAGTAAGAGTAGACATAACACTGATGCGATCACAGTGATATCCCTAACAAAATGACATGATCCAAATTTACAGTGATTAATCATTTCTAATGTTCTATGCAGTGACATGGAACGTGACTTGCACTTATTCACAGTTTCTAGCCAGGAAAAACCCGAATTGTTGTGTCTCTTTCTCATCTTTCTACAATGAAACCATCACCCCTTGCCCATCTTGTGCTTGTGGATGCCAGAACAAAATCAGCTGCGTCAAGTAAGCTGTCATTTCTAATACTTTATCTTGATTTGCTTATCAGAGAGCATAAGCGTCGAAAACTTTGAATGATGATGCAGGAGTGATTCCAAAATTCTAAAAATGGTGGGAGTAAACACTCCAAGGAAAGATAATGCCCCATTGCTTAAATGCACACACCACATGTGCCCAGTTCGGGTGCACTGGCATGTCAAGCTCAACTACAAGGAATACTGGCGTGTTAAGGTTTCAATCACCAACTTCAACTACAGGATGAACTACACCCTTTGGAGCCTCGTTGTCCAGCACCCCAATCTTAATAACGTGACACAAGTTTTCAGCTTTGATTACAAACCTCTGGTTCCGTATGAGTCAATCAGTAAGTACTGAATGATTTTTTGCTTGCATTTCTCAGTACAGTCAGATTATAATCAGATACTTAATCAGGCTGTTCGATCATGTGCAGATGATACAGGGATTTTCTATGGCATGAAGTACTACAATGACCTGTTGATGGAAGCAGGGCCATTTGGAAATGTTCAGTCAGAGCTGCTCCTTCAAAAGGACAAGGACACCTTCACTTTCAAGCAGGGATGGGCATTTCCAAGGAAAGTCTATTTCAATGGTGATGAATGCATGCTACCTCCACCTGATACATACCCATTTCTACCAAATTCTGCCAATCAAGACCTATTCTCCATCACAACATTCATTGCTGCAATGCTTTTATTATTAGTGGCTTTTTGGTGATTAATTGTTTACCATGGAGTACGAAATGGCGGGGAACTAGAATTGAGAGATTTGGATTGGGAAGATTTTACCCGAGATAACAGGTAGAAGAGAGAATACAAATTCAAATTTCTTTAAACGAATCAGTAGGCATTTTGTAACAAAAATTCTAGCTGGATGGATCCGAATTGGCTAGCAGATACACACGTTACTCTCTTCATAACAAATATATTCATGTTTTTTTGGCCTTCATATAACAAATACGTTAAGGAATTTCTTATAGTTTCCTGTATTGCAATGGCGTAAAATAGATGCTTCACCATAGTTCACCTTTTCCTATCACCCAGCCCCTAAGGGATCTTTCTGCTTAAGATGCATCACAGATCAGTTTTTCATTACTATGTAAGTAATGCGCCATAATGAAATGCCTATCTCTTTTGCTGGCGATTCATCTTATCAATATGCATTTAATTTTAGTCCATGATGCCCACTAGATCATGAAACTAACATAATAAGTAGAAGATTTATAACAAAAACAAAGCACTGTATAACTGCAAGCATAAATTAGCTAAAATTTCTCTGTTAATGACTTATTTTTGTTACAACTGTAATAAAATATCGTGGAAATTCTACTATCAAGATGGCTAAGAACAGAAATGAACAAGTTTACAACAGCACAAGTGATCAAATCATAGTGAATTCGCTGACCATACATTAAAAAGAAACCACTGCACCTAGACTCGCTTGAACTGCCTGGCGTCACTACAACAAACATGGGAACTTCCCGCTGTGCCAGTCATATGTTCTAGAGTTAAACTGATTCAGTCAAAAATGGAAGCATACCGGAGTTTGCAGTATAAAATGACTGAAGTTTATGCATATCCAAACAAAAATGCGATTGCTGCCAAGAGCACCATTGACAGACTGAGTATGGAGATAAGCTGTTGGGAACTGGCATTAGGCAACCAAGGATAGGCATCAGGAGGTGGCATAACACAATTATCTCCATTGAAGTAGATCCTTCTTGGGAAAGCCCAACCCTTCTCAAAAGTAAAAGTTGCTTTATCCTTTCGGAAAAGCAGCTCTGACTGCACATTACCAAGTGGACCAGCTTGGGAAAGCAAATCATTGTAGAATTTAACACCCCATAACATGGCAGTATCATCTGTTGAATAAAATAAACAAGCAAATGTTAACATGTCTGTAGCCTTTTTTAAAAGAAAAATTGAATATTTAACTTTCATTCTTCAACAGTTACGAAGCCAAGGGAAAATTAGTATATTTCCTATTTACATGTAACATTTGCTGCTATATATTACCCCAAAACAACAATATTGACCAGAAATTAAGAACTGATTTACAGATTTCATGCACGAAGTGATCCAAATCATGAATAGTCCATCTCTCCCTAAATGTTTTCTTTTCCTGAATTATTTTACCAACCTTGCATATGCTTTTAAATCCCATTCCTCCCATTACAGAGAATACAGAGATGAGTTTTATCTAAACTATCATTCCACACTTGATAACATACAGAACACGACCATGATTGGTTGAGCTTACTTATTGCTGTATATGGAGTTAAAGACTTGTAGTTGAAGCTGAAAATCTGAGTCAGATTGTCAAAGTTGGGATGTTGCACAACTAAGTTCCACTGCGTGTAGTTCATATTGTAATTGAAATTAGTAATTGTAATCTTAACCCGCCAGTACTCCTTGTAGTTAAGCTTAACATGCCAATGAATTCTGACCGGACACATATGGCTTGTACATTGGACCAAAGGTGTATAGCTATTCTTCCCTGTACTTGGAACAACTGATGCTAAATGTGGAGCTTTTGGACTGCATATTAGCAACAAATGCATTAGGAAGCAATAAACAAATAAGATAAAAATCATCTCCAAGCAACATAAACTCTGAGCAATAAGTATTATCTTTTTGGCTGAGAGAACTTACTCTATACAGCTCCCAGGCTGAGAAGTATTTTGGCAGCCACAAGCACATTGAGGGCAAGGTACTATGGTGTCATTATAGAAGGATGAGAGCGAGACACAACAACTGGGTGCTTTCTGAGCTAGGAATTGTGAATATGTGCATGTAACATTCCATGTCACTGTCATAAAGTAGTGTCAATTACAACCATCTATACTGATACAAGTTCAAATTATTTAGCAGGTGAGACAATTTGTTTCCAAAAACTTCTTGGTGAAAAGCAATTAACAAGCACAATCTATCAATTATAAGAAGCCGTATGTCAATAAAATGATGTCCAGAAAGAAAAACAATATCCACTGAGGACATCTTTCTGTAATAAGTCAGCTATAATAACAATTTCAGCCAATTGCAGCATAGTTTAGAATGCCATTTTTGCAAAGTTGAGTGATGATGAGAAACATGACAAGCAGATTAGCTAAAAGAATATGAATAAATACATAGCATTCTAGATCTTAATCAAGCAACTTACTCAAAGCTTGTGTGACTCTTCTTTTGTCCGAAGTAACAAATCTACTGGGTTTCACGATTTTTGCTGGTCCACAAGTATAACCAGGCCCCGGTGCCTTCAAAGTGAAGTTTCTAGGAACCCTAACTGTCTTATTCGTGGTTCCGGCTTGACCCACACTCACCTGGAATGAGCTTGCTGCGGTGGCTGGATCTTGCACCCATGAGTTCAGCACTCCCCCTTTACAGCAATTTGCAATCTGCTGATTGTAAGGAGTTCCTGGCAATAAATCTACAACTGTTGGGTCCTTCTTACAGCAATGTGGAATGTTCCCTTTGAATCTTGAACAATCCCCTTGTTCAGTTGTTTGCGCTCCCATCATGCTCCAAATCACCTCTTTCTTAGCCCATTTCCATCCTAATGTCCACCCTGGTGCTTGGATATGACGATATTGCTGGAAATTATAGAGTGTGACAACTGCCTGCCCATTTCATTGAGAAGTTAATCACATTTTCAGCCAATGGGGCCAAAAAGGTGAATCATGCTTAAGGCAAAATGATAACCATTCTGCAAACTATTTGTTCTTCATTTGTCTATCTTAAGTGAAAGCAAAGTTTTAGTTCTACCTATTGAATGATATTCAGTGTTAGCAGCATTAGTTTAAAACAATTTTGAAAACACAAAGCAAGTGTACCACCAGGGAAGTGATTCTAGGCTTCTTCCTTTGTCCTAGCAATGCTAGATAGCTACATTATCAAATCCTAAATTTTTGCATACACAAACTTCTGCATGTAGTAAGTAATATAAATGAAACAATACTTACAAGATAGCCATCAGGAGTCCAGCTCATTATATCCCACTTGATTGTGATATTTCCATTTGGGTCCAGAGGATCATAGGCTTCTGACCATGAGTAAAAACAAGAATTAACAAAAAAAAAAAATTTCAAACACCTAATCCTACATTAAGAAATGAAGCAGGATATTGATATCAGATAATAACTAGTCAGAAACAGGAAGAGGTCCAAGGTTCAGATGTTCATATTCAGACTAAAGCAATAATACTAGGTAAATAACACAACAGTGGCACAACAAAAACTTGTGCTAATCACAGCCTTTCACATCAATAATGGCATTCGTTGACATGGGAATTGGTGTATTACACAAACTTTGGATTGATGCTAAGACATATTAAGTTTCTTCAAGGCAAGGGAAGGTTATAATCTAAATTGAAGACTATCTATAAACCATTAATTACTCAAATAAAATCATTAATTGCCGAATTTTCCTTAACATTCCAATCTATGATAATCATTTTTTAACCACAGTTAATTGAGTTTTACAACTTATCTTGTTCATAAAAGAGATACATATTTCTTTGCAAATTCATTAGTATAAAAGGAAAAACATTTGAAAGTAAGAATAAAAAAGAACCCATTCTTCTTGTCATTTTTTTTATATACTTAACAAAGCAAAGCTCTCTGAACTGAAACTACAGAATATAATTTTACATAGAAAATTCATGGCCCATTACGGAAATATAAATTTATAGAGCTAAATCCCAGACAATCCAAAAAACCCCTTACCATAAACATCAAAAACAACTTAGAAAACAAGAAAAGAAAGAGCTTTCATATAATTGAAGAAACCCCATTTACCAAATTCATCAAAGAATACAAAAAAAAAAAAAAAAAGAAAGAAAGAACCAATTTTTTTAAACAAAAACCAACCAAAGATTCCAACTCTGCAAACAGTTTAAACAAAGAAAGATAAAGATTCTGCTAACCTGTTGCAGTGAAACTTGAGCTAGAGAGCAAAAGTAGAAGCAAAATGCTGAAAGAACTTAGCTTGACGAAGGATCTAGTAATGAACAAGAAAAGATTAGCCATTTCTTTGATGCAAAAAATAAAATGTTCTTTCGGATTTTAGGACTCTTTTTTGTTCTTGACTTTGGCTCAAGATCTGTGACAGGCAGAGAAGACTAAGATAATGAGAGAGAAAGTTAGAGAACGCGGAAGTGAGTAGCTTTTTGTCCACAAGACATGACAAGTAAGTTTAAGAGCTTCCAGTTTAAGCAGTTGAACACTCTAACATTAAGCCCACTGTTAAACTTTTTTAACTTACTGATGGAACCGATCTTGGTAAGAAAAAGAGCGCATAAATATAGCGTATAAATTGTATACACGACAAAAATTGTATATTGTTTTTGTCAATGAATATGTTTTTACATAATTAATCATTATTTATTATTTTTTACAAAATCATGTATTTATTATTAAAAGACTTAGAATATCGAATTAAATTGATTAATTGAAAAAAAAGTACTATATCAAAGAAATGAAGCGGAAATAAAATAGGGTGTGTTGATGGTTGCTTGTTAGTCAATAAAAAATGGCGAAAAATAAGAGGGAATTGATTTGGGTTGATCAAGAAGGACAAAGAAATAGTTAGATAATTACATAGACCTCACTTTTTCAATTAAAAAGAGATGTATATTAGATAGAAAAAAAATTTCATAAATTTATAAATCTAAAACCAACGATATCTCAAACTAAAGTGAAATTTGTGATATTTTTCTATCTAAGTGTGTAACGTATTATTGCATTAATTTTTTCACTTGTAAAAAAAAAATTCCATTACAATACAAACTTATATCCATTTTAATATCTCTTACGTCAATAAAAAATTAAATAAATTTTTATATAACTCGTTGCACCATGTTTTCAATACAAAGAAAAAAAAATCTTGACTTATAAACCAAAATCATTTCCATCTCTTCGACGTGGGATTGGTGCCACATGACAGTTGTTTGTGAGAAATAGAAAATGACAGCTTAAAATGAAGTTTTGGAATAAGCATGTTCCAGAGGAAGAGGATAAATGGCTTGATAATGGGGTTGGTGCCACGCAATGCTTGGTAATGATTTGTC